AAGATCCCCAGTCCCGAGCCTGAGCAAGAAATCTGTCTGCTAGACGCAGGCAAATACCAGCCTAAAATCACCTGTTCCGTAGCTGAATGAGCTGAGATCAGTAGAACATGGGGATGATTACATCATCTCTCCGAAATGGCGGCTGCTGTCCTCCTCTGTGGTCCGACCGGTGTCTGGAACCAATCTGGGCCGCTTCTCTCCTCTGTCTCAAAGCCGGAACTCAGCACTAAGGACTGCCAATGTACCACTGGCGGGAGCCCCCCGAATCCGATCGCTGCTCCCCCGCTCCGGGACCTTGCCGCTCCCCAGCGCGCGCCACAGACTTCAGCCGTGGGGCGATCGCGTATCAGGCTATGCGACCCTCTGTGCGGAGAAATGGAGCTCCCACAGCAGAACTTTGCAMGATGGAAATCTGACCCCTAGATTCTGGAGCATCTCAATTTCACTGGAAATTCCCAACAAGATAGCCTTCAGCCGTTTCACATCGTCTTTCTCACGCTTAGTGACGCGGCGCACTGGGGTGATGCACTCCCTTCGCCGCCATCTTCTTGTGTTCCCACAACCAACTTTTAAGAGAAAGAAGTGCCTCTATTTCACCAAAATTTCTTCAAATCTTTTCATCTTCATTCTTTCATAGCACCTTTATTAAGAACCTCAAGTACTTGGTGCACGCTGGTGCAGAATGACTTCCTACTGCAGGTCAAGGGCACAGGCGCCACCGAAGCTGGCAGCACAGGAGCCACTCGGACCCCTGACCCAACCAGGGCCCCGGGCCTACAAGCTCGAGCCTCCGAAGGCCGATGCCACCGAGGACAAGGGAAGTAGCAGCAGCAGCAAGGCCAAGAAGGCAGCGGTTGGGAGCAAGAAGTTGAAGAAGGCAGCCAAGCCCAGTGTCCCCAAGGTGCCCAAGGGCTGCAAGTGAGCACCCCAGCCCCACAGGYGACAACGTGGAGGGGGACTGTCCCCACTGGGCCACGACCTCACCTCCCTATTTCTTTTCTTTTCTTTTTCTTTTTTTTTGGTAGTGGAGATTGAACCCAGGGGTGCTTAACCACTGAGCTATATCCCCAGCCCTTTTACTTTTTAAATTTTGAGACAGGGTCTCATGAAGTTGCTTAGGGCCTTGCTAAGCCCACTCCTATTTCTAAAACTCCTGAAAAGAAGAAATTATTAAATGCCCAGCCCAAAAGAACTTCACACAAAGTTTTAGGCAGACTCTATCGCCTTAAAGATGAGAACCACTGCGTAAAACATTGGGAAGGGCTCTGAGTATCTTTACGAAAAATTTGTACGCACCTCCTTATAGTCTACAGGTCTATATTTGAATCTTATTAAAATGTGATTGACATTGACAAAAGAGTAGCAACTGTACACGTTCATTTATGTAACATTCAAAAACTGGAAATGACCAATTTCTGCTGTTAGAACACAAAACTGTGGTTATTTTGGGATGTATGGGTAAATAACTGGGGTGGGGGTAAGAGAAGGGTTCTGGGATTTGGTCATGTTTTGTTTTTTGTTGGTTATATGTGTGTTGCAATTCTGAAAATTCACCAAACTCTGTATTTATGATCTGCTCATTTGTCTGTATTTATCTTATGCTTCAGTTGAAAAATTTAAAGCATATTAATACTGTTGTGATGTTAAAATTAAAAAAAATAATTTGTTTTTCACTCTTGCTCAATTTATGACTCCTAGCTCTCCTGCCCCAGTGGTATCTTTTTGCTGGGTCTTGCCAGGCTAGAGACCAGACAGTACTCTTTTCTGAGGCTGGCTGCCCAGCAAGGTGCCCACCCTTTGAGAGAGCCATCTCACCTGCAACCTTGGAGTTGTAGGCTACACCAACCCCACAAATATTGTTGTTGGCTGCTGCTGAGACTTCTCCTGCACATCGGGTTCCRTGGCTGTGGGAAAAAAAAAAAGACAAATTAGATACCTCTTTTGAAGAATTTAAAAATAAATTAGAGGGGCTGGGGCTGTGGCTCAGCAGTAGTGCACTTGCCTGGCATGTGTGAGTCACTGGGTTCAATTCTCAGCACCACATATAAATACATAAAAAATAAAGTTCTATCAATAACTAAAAAAAAATTAAAAAAATAAATTAGAGCAGTTTTAGTTTTTTACTATATTTTCATTACTGATTTTATACATAGGAATGTCCACTCTTACCATGCCTATTCAATATTGTATTTGAAAGTTAGCCAGAGCAYTCAGGCAAGAGAAGGAAATTAAAGGGCTACAAAAAGGAAGAGTCGTCAAATTATCTCTACTGAGAAGACCCAAAAAACTCCACCAGAATATTTCTAAATCTGATAAACAAATTCAGCAAAATAGCAGGATTTAAAAAAAAAA